AGTTAATTTAAAACTTATAGATCTCGAAAAAACATAACTTGTTCTGATTAAAATTCACGTCTGTATGATAAAATTAACGCTATAAATCGCAAAAAACGATATAACACTAGCCTGCTTAGAATACATACGATCGACACTCAATGCAAAGTTAAGGGTGATAATCATTGTGTTTTCAGGCTTTTTTTCTTTTAATACCGTGGGAATATGTACATTTTTATACTTTTATACCAAGTTTACATTGAACTATACACCTAAAAGTACCAGCTTTTTACACAGTGTGGTAATGTCAGTAATATATTACCTCGTATTAGCCGTGCCTCAATTGCAATAACGCAGTTTTTGCACAAATTAAGCCACTTGTTATTAATAACTGTCCAGCACTGGAAAAATCTAGTTGCTAATAGTAAAATTTCTTTCATACGTAGTGCTATCAATTCAAAGTCGAACACATAATTTTAATATAGAAATGACCTTGTAAAACTCTTGCCAATAGTTCTATTTATTAATAGAATTGTGAGAATATGCAGTTTAATACTACTATCTCAATATTTGCTTACAGTATTTACCTTTCTAGTGACAGTATACTATGAAATAAACTTAGCCCATCTTTTAATCTTTAACATTAGCCCATTTATTAACGCAGGTTTAGCATGGTCTTTACGATACATTTCTACCTAATGGTTCACACACAATATACCTGTTGCATGGCGTTTTTGTGTTAAGTTGCTTGCTTTACTTATTTATTGTGTAAACTTACCACGTTTTCAGAAGACAGGTAAGTTTGGTGACATTGAGACTATTAGTTGAGGACTAATTTAGAGGTACAAGCTTTACTTTTTTGAAGAATGTTTATCACTCTAGTCAGTAGGACTACAAAGGGGTACTTCCAATGAAAAAGTACGTGTAATCTACATACTTACATCCTGCATGATTACGCAACAGCATAAAGTTTTTTGCTGAAATTAGACTAATGTCATGAAAATATTTTCATCGATCTATACATTTGGTATAGTGCATTAACTTTGTGTGACATTTTTAAGAGTGATCACGCAGTAACATGACAATAAAAAACAGCAGTAACTAAAAATGGTCGTTTTCTGGGAAAGTGAGGCGTGTGCCTAGTATTAAAATAAATATTACCTGTAAATATTATTCGAAAACGCTTCTTTTCCAAAATATCAAATATGTTTTCCTTAAATAATAATAATATGAATAGACAACAAGATACAGAAAAATTGACTAATTGTTATAAGTGTCTCGTTAAGTCAACTAGGAAAAAGGATTAACTTTATGTACATGATTTGGGGAGCCTCTTTTATTTTATTAGGAACACATGTCCTGTTTATCTGCTCCTCACAAGAAACTGCTTGTGATTCTTATTTAATTGTATTGCGTGCGTGTAGTATGTCATTTGTGTATGTGCAGAGTACAAAAGTAGCTAAACTTGAAACTCTGACTATATTCCGATTTTATATCCCTTTCGTAAGAGTCAGAGGTATGTTAAATACTAAACTTAATTTGTGTTTATTATACTTTATCAAAATTTGGATTGTAGAGAACTTGTATTTTTCACAGATTTTTGTACTCGGTGAGGGCCAGGACGTTGTCCAAACGGCTGAAACGTTGTTTTGTTTTTAAATAAATACAAAATATGACAGTACCACCATTAGACGTTGTTGTTAATTACTTTTAAATATTTTTGGGTACACGGTTTAAAAAAAGTCATGGAACGTATGAGTTGCCGTGCGATCAAAAATGTTGCTATGCATTGCTAGTTGTTGTTGATTAAAAAACACTATTTTTGTTGAGATCGTAACTACTTTGAGCTAACTACTTCTGTTCACTTCTCATATTAAAGCTTATTTTCATTTTATAAGGTAACGTGTTTTAATTAGTACTGGTAAGCGTAACAATATACATAAAAAAAATTAATCAAAACGTCAAAAATGAATTACTGACGATGAGTACAATAATTCTTTAATAAAATGTTACGTATTAAAGGACTGAAGCAAGCCATTCGCTGCAACATACTCAGCGGCAAGTTCATCATTTAAAACGTGTAGTACACGCGTTCTATAAACATCCAAGTTATAGGGTACGTTCCAACATTATTCTTTGTTACTTGGAATGTTCAACGTACATAACATTTTATAGGTTGTGAAAGCAACAAAGTACTTATTCCATAATTAATAAAAGTTTCTTTGTATCTTTGGAACTGATGACCTAGGTAACAAATGGTAATTCCTGAATGTGCTTATTATAGTTTTTCTACTTGTAACGCAAATTTCACTTTTCCAACAAATGATACACTAAAAAAGCAATGTGTGGAGTACATGTTTTTATTTCATTAAAAAGTTGTCGACGCTTTGTCACTTAAGGAGGCCTCTTCAAGATACATTAACAGGTCTGTCTGAGTAGGTGCCTTCAGCACTTCCCACAGTTTACAATCGGCATTTGTGAATATTTCTCTGACACAAATGTAAGTGCATTTAAGGAGTTTGAAGAGTTGATACATAGGTTGAAGTTTGGATGCCGATTGTAAGCTGTGGGGAGTGCTTGAGACACCAATTTAGGCGGGGCTGTTAATATATCTTGAAGAAGCCTTCTTGAGTGGCGAAACGTTGACAACTTTTTATTAAAATAAAGACACATATCACTTCATATTTGGCTTTTTAACTATTCTATTTATTGGCGATGCATACACGGAGTGAGAAGAGGAAGCAAAAAGAGCCACGAAAATTTTACGTTTATTTAAAATGTTTAACACGAATTAATGGTGCACATATTTAAGCAAACCGGGTAGCTACAAGTGTTGTGATTGATATACGTAGCCATTCAGGGAAAGAGAGATATAAAGAAAACAAGTCGTTCTAGACCCGTCCATTAAGATTTTATAGTGTGTGTGTGTGTGTGTGTGTGTTATTAAGAAATGTAGAAGTATATAAATATTGATGTTATTGATCGATGGGTAAGTATTGTGTCAAATGATTATTATGTATTGACCTTTTCCATCTAAATTGCGCTGTCTACATTTTTTAACTTTGTAGAAATGTCGCTCTTATTTTTATAGTGAAAATTACTAGAGTGCGAAAAACTTAGTCAATTAAAATTGCAAAGCAATGAAAAAAGTTATCCACTTCGGCCAGGAGTAGAACCTGGGCCTCTTTCTTGTCGGAAAGGCGCGTTTGGAACCGAGGCTTTGGTGGTGAAGTTGGTTAACGCGCGTTTCTGTCAAGAAGAAGGCCCAGGTTCTACTCCTGGCCGAAGCGGATAACTTTTTTCACTGTTTTGTAATTTTAATTGACAAAGTTTTTCGCACTCTAGCGATTTTCACTATAAAAATAAGCACGACATTTCTATAAAGTTAAAAAATATAGATAGTGCAATTTATATGGAAAAGGTCAATACATAATAATGATTTGACAATGTATAAGTATAGTTATTACTAAAAAATTTGTGGATAAAGATTATAGTTTACATTTTTTCTACTTCATATGCATTGCATATTTTTTGTATACCAGATAACAGTCCATTAGCTTTTTTTATTTTGCTGATATTTCAGAAGTCATTTGCTTACTGCAGTGTGGCATCCTCACTATATTCGAGCATCAAACTACTATAGGCACTTACTGGCTGGAATGGCTTGTACACAGTTATATAGTGTATAAAATAAATATGTATGCAGACATACACTTGTTACAGAGCTTCTGTCACTATATAGAGGAAAAACAGTACAAACTTTATAGTTCTATGGTACTTTATGGGTACGATTTAAGTTCTTGTTTCACGGCAGGATATTTTACTATTCTATTTTATTCCAAGCTTAACGATAAGACATTTCCAATTACTTTCTGCAATGAATACAACTATACGGACCAAAACAAAAATAAATAAAAACACTATCTTAGTAAATTAAAGGCAGAAACACTATTTTAAATACTTTGAGAATCTTTTTTTACATAAGTAAAGTGATTCGATACGGTATCTCTTAGGACTTGCGAATAAAATCCAGCTAGCAATCTACTTAAGGTTTAATGGTTTGTCTGCTTAAGTTTAAATAAGGATATTCTCTCAATCTATTCAAGATTTTTGTACACACAAAAATTTTATTTATTAAAAAAAAAACAGGTCAATCTATGATATTTGATTTTATTACCGAAACACAAAACACATTTTTTCGTAACATCATCCTATTGTTTTCATTAGCAATTCAAGATAATTTGAAGTACTACCGTTAAAAATCTCTTTTCATAGTTTTATATTGAAGCTAATTGTGATTACGACATTGTTTGCATAGATTTTCAAACAAAGTGTATGTACTCAAGTTATTAAGTAATTTATTTTCAATGACTTAAAAAATTAACTTTGACAACTTGAAAATACAATTTATGGCAAAAGTTACTTTTTAATTAATGACATTCCTACAAAATTTTTTGTACTCCAAATCTCAACATGATGAAGCACTATTGCATTATAAAACACTTTTCTTCAACCCACTGAACATGGTATTACTATACAGATTTGGGACTTAATTGTGACCACCAGCACTTGTATTCAACTTGACAATTTGTACAAATAATAATGGAACAAAGTGTCAAAAATCTTAACATGGATAAACTGCTACACATTTTGTTAACAGGTAACTTTATCAAAATCCTATCCAATCCTTATTCTTTCTTAAAATTAAGACATACAGGTACGAAAACTTCTCAACGCCTTTTGAGAAAACAATATTTTTGTGTTATCATCAATTACGTAATATTTATTTGCTATTTTTAAGTTTGAAAACTGATCTGCTCGTACGTGTACATTGCTAATTAGATAATCGAAAAAATTGATGCTAATTCACTGTATTTGATACAAAAATTTTTGTGTTTTCGGTATTAAAAATGGTGATGATATTACAAACGTCTAAGTATTTTAATTTCACAAGCTTTATCTAACAATTAGTATTTTTTTGGCTTACATAGAGCAGCTTAACTAAACAAGAAACTACGTACCAAATACCACTGTTCCTTAAAGAGTGGATCTGTAAATATATTTTGAAGTGGGAATCCACGATTTTTTTGTCGATAATTAACATCTTTTCGAAAACTCAAATTAGTAACAAATGGGTAATCACTGGAACTTTTTAGATCGTCTGAAAAATCCCTTTTTTTTCTTTTTTTCTCATGCTGCTGTTGAAACCAAAAAACCTGTAAAATAATAATTTATTAAGCAAATTTATAAATTTATTATACTTACAAGCTTTGAAGAATCTTATATCATTATTGTTACGTCGAAAGGACGATTCTGCAATAAAAAATTTACTACGTATTTTAGACCTAAGCTCGCGCATAATAGCCTGAAATCCAAATAAATTGAAGGCGCGTGTGAATGTAGGCAATTGTGGGGTTAGAGATGGTAAAGTTTCGTTAAAAGTTGCGAGTGTTCCGACGGTACTTCATTTAATATGTGTAGAATAGTTACGCTTCCCTCCAGGTTTATCCTCCGGACGGGGTTAAATCACCGCAGCTAGTGTCATTCGTGATACTTGAATTTGGTGCAGGGTCCTGGCTCCCGTTATTTCTCTATGCGAGATCACGGTCAGCTAAGTTGCGTCTACTGGACGAGTAAATTAAAATGAAAGTGTTGTACGATTCTGCTGTAGCTATCCCTGGGTATAAGTCCCGAGGGTTTGTCTCCTCGTGGGTAAGCGTCTAGGTGTTAGTAGAGGGTTTAATTGATAGATTTAGCGATTTCTGGGTGCACGTTCCGAGGGTTTGTCTCGGTGTGGGTAAACGTCCAGATAATCGATTGACAGTTTTATTTATTTAATGTTTTGGCGATCCCTGGGTTTGTAACGTCCAGATGATCGAATATTTGTTTAGGATTAAATACGAAAATGGAGTCAGAACTTTTAATGTTTGACTTACTGGTTTATTCCTTCTTGTAACAAATAGGTACAAAAAGGAGCAAACTCATGCTACTCTCGTACCGAACTTTCCAGCACTAAAGAGAGGGAAGCGGTTATTTAGTTCTTTCGTCTTCCTTTACACAAATTTGAATGGCACATAATTTGGCTAATAAAATATTTTTGTGACTGGCTAATTTTGCACAGTCTTGACCGATGAGATTTTGCTTGTCTCTGAAAATCAAGCTGATGTAGACAAAAACGGTCTAAATCGGACCACTTGATCCAAAGTTGCCTGAGGCATAATGTATAAAAAAACATTTACTGCTTAATTTTCGCAGGGTACGTATTGTTTTGATATCACTGTTCTAGGTGTCGTATGCTTGGTCAAATTGCATTAGAATTATTGGCAATTCGAATGTTTTCGCTTTGTAGGACTTGCTACGCTTTATGCCTTATCTGTTTACGGAAGTTGTTTACGCCTGAAGAGCTTGGTTTGTAGCATCAGTAACGCATACCTCATAGTTTATTCGGTGGTCGGCGTAGTCACAGGCCACGTCTGGTAGTTAATACGAGTAGCTAAGTATAAGTATGGAAAAAAAAGCTAGAAAAACGAAATATGCTCTTTCGACGTAACAATTATATTAAAAACTATGGACATTTCATTAAGCAAACAAAGTATAAACACGATTACAAATTTTTAATGGCTACCGAACAAGCTTAGGAGGATCTTAAATGACCTCTGTGTGAGGAGGTAAACGGTAGGTAATTAATAAGCACCTAAAAAAACCCTACTCTACGTCACAAAATAACTAGGAGAAATAAGAAAAAAGTGCCCCTTTCTAATGATTTATCAATAATGTATGAGTTAACTTTAACATTTTTATGAACATACAGTATTGTGAGCTGTGTTACTATGAGTATATTGTTATATTATTTTTGAGTGCGAAGATTTTTCTTTTTGATGTAAAAGTAAAAAATGTTATTTATAAATTGGGGTACCAATAATACACACAAACACACACACACACACCTGTTGTGCGACATAAACACTATGAGTGCAAGAGAATATGTATATGTACTTGTACAGTGATACAGTTACAGCAGACAGAACAAGGCCGTTGCCATGCACGCACGCTCTCGTCAGGTCTCTCGATATAATAAGAAAGTATTTTTTAATCAAATTTAATCTAAGTTATTATTGCTCAACAAACCTGTTAATATGTTTTTAAATGTAACACTTGTTGATCTACTACCTCAAAGTAAATGTATTTAACAGATAAAAAAAAGATTAAAATGTACTTTATTGTAATCTTTCTAATGTAAGTATCAATTCTACAAAAAATGAGTTTCGAATCGATAAGTGGTACATTACGTCACTAGCGCACAAAGTACAAACACAAGCGACCGAAGGACGCGGTGGTTGTATGTTGGTGCCCGAGTCACGTGCAATGTTAGTCTTACTGAGGGTGCAAAGTGCAATATGCTTGTGGGCACACTTAGTGTACAGTGAACCGCTTTTCTTTTCGTAGGCCCAAAGTTATTACAAGGGCGCAAAGTATGGCCCAAGGGTGTAAAGTGATAGTTGCACTTTGTGCCAATGGTGAGAAAAAGTATTGAACATGCTATATTTTAAGACAGTATTGAATTTTTTTTTTTTTTTTTACTATACGAGCTCAAAGTTAAGAGACAAAACATTATTTTAATAAATATATTCACGCTATATTTCATTTCTTATACCGACATTAGGAATTAAAATAATCATAGAATTTCTGATATTTTAGTACTGTAATTAGTATGTATAGCTAATACTTGTAGGTTGAAGTTTTCAATGATCACTCTATAAATTAACGCATTTTTTAATAATTTTTGGCCAAATTCCTAATAATTAATAAGAACGATAAAAGTCTAAGTAATTAAAATAACTTGTTTTATTTTTTTTCTAAAAACGATGAGACTGTAAAAGATCTGGGGGTAAGCAGTATGTCTGTACGGCTACAGTATCGTGCGGTGCAGTACGAAAAACTCACTATAGTCATTCATAAAGTACTTTCCCATTAGTAAAAAGTCCTTCAATTTACTAAATCAGCATGACAAAAACCTCAGATAGGGCACGTTTTGTACCTTTTCTGAGATTACGTATAAAAATTTTGAAAAATTAAAGTGACCATTGGAAAGTTAAGGAAAAAAAAAAATTAATTGTGTACAAATCTTATTATCTCATGATGTTTGTGTCTGCAAAAATTGGGGTAAGAAACACTTCAATGCAGGCTAAGAGTACGTTTACATGAGCGGAATCAAGCAATAATAGAGAAGTTATAATACCACCGCAAGTCAATTTAAATATTCACTGCTGATAGCATTTTTTATGTACCAACAAAACTCTTGGTAGAAATAAAGTATAAAAAAAATACTCAAGATCTCTACAAATTATAAGATTTTTGTCAAGTCCGACAATAGTTAACAATGGTATTTTTTAAAAGTTATACTTCTATAGGCACGTTCTGTACTACAGAGTAAATGAACGATTTCAGATTGGTGACGTTAAGAAAAAGTTTAAGGGATGCGAATTTTGTTTGATTATTCCCCTTTGCCTCCTCCCTCTTGACGTATTTCCGGTTATCTCGACACCACACAACATTACCAGGACACAACACACATTTTAAACTTCATGAATTTTATTTATTTTTCTTTCAACCAGCTTCCAAACCTATTTGAAACCGTGATCTCAGGCATACTGGGAAAGCCCTTACGCATTCTGCTATGAGCGATCCTGTTAGAGAGGATTCAATTACTTCTTCTTAAGGTATAATTCATAACTTTCTTTTGGTGTAAATTTTATTTTACCGTTTATTATTTAATTTATGCTTGATTATAAGTGGCAGTGATAAACGAATTATCTATTTAATACACTAATTTTTTTACTGTAACGTTTTTTTCAAAAACTTGTAAGTTAGTATGAATGTGTGTTTACTAAATTATTATTAATTTCTCACTTCTAAAATAAGTCAATAATTTTTCATACAATTTTTCACATCTTTTTCAAAGTTTTCAAAAATTAGAAAAAAAATTTTTTGTACTGTATACATACAATAATTGGTTTTTATTGCGTTTTCTTCTTTGACAAGTTTACCTTAGTGATTAAGGTGATTTATAGACTGCAGGACATTTATTACCTATTTAGCAGGGGAAAATTCAGTTCAAAGTTCACAGAGGTGGGAGGAGCGCAAATATATGCAGCAACGCTTGAAATTATTTTTCTTTTATTGATGTACGTACATACACGCCTTTACGCCTACTTGACTCCTTCTTTCTTGTGTTATTAAAAAAAAAAGTTATACATCTATTTGAAAATGAGCCAGATTTATCCAAAAGTAATCTTTTCTACAAACAAAAATCGGCAGGTTCATACAGATCTTGTAAACACTATTTTGAAGGATTTTTTCATAAGGTTACATGTTTCGATTTTTTAAAATTAAGCCCATAAAAAAAGGGTACAACGGAACAATCTGCAATTTTTTAAAGTATTTTTTATGCTATTTTTAGTATAATTTTGATGGTTGCATTATATTGGTCAACAAAACCTATGTGTGATAAAGGTACTGAAGGGACGTTCACTGTACTGGCATGTACTACTATGCTATTGAAGAAAGCGGTACTACAGGATGTTTTGTCTTAATTTTTGAGACACAATTATATTTTTGGTATTAAATAGAGAAAAGGAATAAGTGCACGAGCTTAATGTCAGTGATATCATTAGCCTAGGCCGTAGAAAGTTGTTTTTAAATCATCAGAAGATTTGGTAAAACTGCGTAGTCTTATACTGGCTAGCCAACTTATTGTTTATATTATATTGTGCCATAATTTATTGTTTATAAGTGTTAGCTCACAAAATAGTTAAATATTTATTAAAACCACACCCAACTTATGTAGGTATACTCATTCCAATGATGATTGCGCCACCTTTGTACACAATATTGTTTTATACAAATCTGTAAGTATTCAAGAGAAAAGGACTAACTGGCTTTTTACCATTATATTCTCTTCCTTTTTCATTAGGCTTCAGTGTCAAAGATTGCTGCTTATAAAGGGCAGTATGTGTTGTTCATATTAATGGATATTTTCAAAATGAGTTCATTGTGTGAGCACACTTCGTTTTATTTGAACCATAGTTTCTAACTGTACGTGGGGTAAGCTGCCTTACGATATATTTAAATGGACTGCTGCCGTAGGGTATGTAGTATTTCTGTACTTATCATTATTTATTTCGAGACTGCACTTAACTTGATTAATGTTTAAGGA